ACAATCATAGGCCTATTCTTTCACCATCATTACACATTGAGGCCCTTCTTTTAGGTAAAGCGATCTATCTTAAATTTTCTTTCTCAAGTTTGGGACTATTATGTTTTTAAATAACTTAGAAGGCAAAGGAGGGCAAGCACAAGCTTAAACCCTAACAAATGTGCGGGAAGCGCACGAAAAATTTTTGTGTTTTTAATTCTAATTTCGTCGGAATTGATCAAAACTCCCTAAATGTGCAATTTTTAGAGGAAATTGGCTCAACAAGAAATGCTCTTATGTTATATATGGCCACACTCGTTTTTTTAAACTGAATATAAGCATTTTCCTTATGGCTTTATTTATTACAAACATATTCTTTCAACATCATTACACATTGAGGCCCTTCTTTTAGGTAAAACGATCTATCTTAAATTTTCTTTCTTGAGTTTCGGAACTATGTGTTATAACAGGCAAAGGAGAGCAAAGGAGAGCAAGCACAAGCTTTAACATCAAAACAAATTTTTTTCTTAAATTCTAATTTCGTCGGAATTGATCAAAACTCCCTAAAATGTGCAATTTTTAGAGGAAATTGGCCTACCTCAACAAAATATGCGATTTAAAATTTGAGATTTTCAGGAACTTTCCCGGGTGAAAAAGGCATTCAATGGGGATAGATATTCCAATGATGGATATTTTCCCCTTGTCCCCGGTGGTTACGCCACTGCGGAGAATACCTGGCGACTTAGATCAAATGCGATATGGACACTTTTTGAAGTGGAGAAGGGGTTGCAGGCCGGGGTATTGTGATATCTGTTCATTATATCTTCCTTTTTATTCTTGTCTTTAATTTTCTCTTCTCCTTTTATTTTCCTTTTTCTTTCCTCCTCTTTCTCTTTCCCTCCCTCTACCCTCTTTCTTTTCTCTTCTTACCCAGCCCGGTACGACGGCTTGGTCAGCCCGATAAAAACCCGACAGTCTGCACCCCCCCCCTCCGGCCCCTTGCCTGTTACGCCACTGCTAATAAGATGAATGGGAATATGAATTATGCAGATCTGGAATCAAATCTAGGTGGTGGGGTCAACATTCCTCCCCCGGGAAATTTTTGATTTCTAGATGGCGGGAAATGACCTTTCTCGACTTTTGAGCTAGGTGTCTAATGACTTTGTTCTTCAAAATTCAAGGTTTTCCCCCTCATGATCGAAAACGGTAAGGTAAACTTTCTCATTCCTGTATAGTAGTAGGTTTACAAACTTTTCCTACTAGGAGGCCCTAGCATCAGTGGCGTAGAGGTTTTGAAATGGAAGGGAGTTGATGTGTTGGGAAGGTAAATTGGGGATCAGTGACTAGGTGAGGGAGCTAACTCGCTAACTCGCGAAAAATTTATGTGATTTGAGGTGATTTTTAATTACTTGAGCATGATGTGTGGGCGGTGGATGGGCGAGTATTTTTATCAGGGGTACGCGACCCTCGCACATCCTAGATATGCCAATACATAGCATACCCTGCAATTTACCCTACGGTCCGCCACTGGTACCCACTCCTGGGTGGAGAGAGGCAACCGTATATAAAGTGCCTTGCCCAAGGACACAAACGATTTGCACAACGAGAGTTTCGAAAAAAACATCCTCACTTAAACCCCACCCGCTGGATCTCAATAGAGATTCTTTAATAATATATAAATTTTGAAAGGCAAATGGGGAAAACCCATAAAACATCAAACGGCCACATAATGCAAAAATATTTAAAATTAAAACGAACAGTAGAGAAAATCCAATCAGAATGACAAAATAAACTAAGCATCCACTGGAAGGAATCCCAATATCTGCAGACGGATCCGTTTCGGCCTTCCAGGCCTCATCAGTCCAGCCAGGGTATAGACCCAAACGAAACGTTCGACCAGCTTAGGTAGGGCCCAAACTAGTCCTACGACCACTAATGATTACAAAGCCAAACCAAGGCAATATATATACACAGCCCAGGTGTGAATGCAAATAGTGGAATACAAGCTATGTGGCTCGACAAAATATTCTCTGTATCTACTTGTTAATGTTTTCGTTCATTCACGTTCAGAAAGTTCTAAGGACAGGATGAAATATTTGTGTGCAATAAAATAAAATTCAAAGTCCTCCAATACGCTAACCGTGTCATTTGATTTTATCAGTGTCTCTCCTATTATTATTAATATTTTTTTTAATTATTACTATTATTATTATATATCTATAAAAATTTATATATAATATATATAATATATATATATATATATATATAATATATATATATTATATATATACTCAACAATCTAAGGGTTTAACGTGTGTTTCAGTACGATAATAATGAATATAGGAAACGAATACCATGGAGAGATTTAGAAACACTTTATTGGAGAAAATCAATTAACCTATCCTTAGGCATTTATCAAGGTACTAGAAAAAACTACTACGAAGTGGGCACACATAACCACTGTAGTGGGAGGAGTTAAATAATAAGCAATGCGGCAAATAATGAGATTGATGAAAGATTGTAAAAAATCAGCTAAACAATGTAAGATAGATACTGAAAAATCGGGTATACAAATTATGATTCGAATATATAGATATTTTTTATGTTACCTATCACACATGTGTATCATAGACAACATGGTTAGTATTAACATCTTTTCAATATCTGCGATTTGATTAGAAAGTTTAAATTTAATATATTATAAAAAGAATACAAGTAAATGTTCCTAACCGGAATTATCTTTCCTCCGATGATGATTATTGTGCTTTTCTTTATCAGCCAAATCCAGGTTTTGTTTGGAATGTTCTGACATCTTACTCACAAGTGTCTTTTGGTCCTCAGATGTATCATTTGATCCCGCTAGACCCAAGATGTCTTCGATGGAGTGCGTGTGTTTAGTTCCACAACTTGATGGGAGTATCTGCATCATTTCTACGCTGATATTGTTATCTATAAAGCTATGCTGTGTTAATTATACGAACATTTATGCTTTTCCTCAAATACATAAATATAAGAAAAGGCTAGCAATACTTCTGACGATGAAAATTTAATACTTGGAGAACTTGATAAAACACAGAGAACATTGATTGCAAAATTTTTGAATTAAAACCAATTAAAAGTACTGCTACGTTTCGTTCCACTATCAGTGGATCTTCTTCAGGCAAAGAAGCTGAGAGCTAGATGTTGTTAGCGACGCTATTCAGGCTTGAATAGAGAAAATTATCTTTTTTTGACAATTATTAATTTTGGGGTTTTTTTTAAATTTATTTATGTGTACCAGTACCACAATTAAATAGATATAAAGTTTTACCGTGCTCGACACAAATTATCGACACAACATCGAGGATCAACGCAATCAGTATTATTGGAATTTGGGCGGAGCATTAGTTGAGCGACAGACAATTGCAGGTCAAATACATGAGCTTAGCAGATTCGATGGCATGATGAATTTACGCCAAGCACTTTGGATTACTCTTAATTATGTGGACTAGTTATATCATAGTTTTAATTTATTCACCACATTTCCAGCCGGAATTAAAATTTTGCCGCCATTGCAAAACGGGAGCACTTTTCTTAAAATGCAGATTGTATGACCATCTTAGAGTTATAGGAGTAATGTTTTGCCCTACCTATGATCTTTTCCTGACGCAAAGACACATCGAAATATCATCTTAAAGTTAATTTATTCCATTACTTAAATAATTTGATTAAATTAACAAATAATGATAATCAATTTTATGAAGCCCACTGAACTACCTTCATAAAACAAGCTTTTAACCTTCGAAAGGAAATAGGCCAAACCTTCTTTCTCTCTCATTTTTAACTTTTTTTGCTTTTTTCTCCGGCTGTTGTTGTAGTAGACCTAATACTATTTTGTTTAGTGAAGTAAATAAAAGAATCTGATAATATTAATTTTGGGTTTGTTATAATTTACATTATAAATTATATAATTAATATTTAAAAAATAATATAGAATTACATATAACATAAAAGGATGCAAAATCAACTTCTTAGAATTGCAACTTTAAGTAGTGTGACTTGGGGGGGGGGGGAACTGGGGGGGGGGGGGGAGGAAGGGGTCGGGAAGACGCATATCATAAAAAGAACAAACAAAAGACAATAACACGTTTAATAATGTATAACAACAATATTAACAATTTGGCATTTAAAGATTGAGAAAGAAAAGATCATGGACATTTTTTCTTTATAATTTATCCCGAAATGTTTTAAAAGGGATAAGTTATTGCAGAGTCTGTGAATGAAATTATGGTGATCAATCAGAAGCAGTGAACCCACGTGAACAAATTGTAGTCTCGTCAGTGAGATCGGAAACTATTGAGAAGTATTCATTTTTTTGCGTTGTAAATGCTGGTATATAAGTTCCGGAATAACGAGTTTACAAGAGTTACGCAAATAAAGACGGATGTCCAGAATAAAAGTTGCCGGTTGCCTGTATGCATTCAAAGTGGATTGTAGATACAATATACTATGGCGAAGGTTGTCACATGATACGAGGAAGACACTTATCGAATTTAAAGAGGACCAAATTAATGTCCACTGATTAATCTCAGATAAGAAAGTATAATACATACTCCAAGTATTGAAATGCACGCCATCGTGTTGAGATTCAATATTTCGACATTAATTATGTCATCATCAGGAATGTTTAAATTAAGTTTAATCAGAAATGATGAATAAAAAGTGCAGCCGCGTTAGTCAGTTATAGAACAATATAAAATAAATCACAGCAGGACTTTCGAGACTAACAATAAAATTTATTCTCTAGCTTTCGTACACACAGTGAACTTCATCAGGCGACTGTGGACGAAAAGAAGTGAGGACGAAAGCTAGAGAATAAATTCTATTGTTTCAAATAGTAAGTTTTTTGGCTCAAGGGTAAATATATATTATATTTGACTTTATAATTGACACTTGGCTAATCATTTTAAGGGCCTATATGAGTGGGGAGTATATTCTGGGTAGCAAATTACATGTTTTCAACATTAACAGAAACATACAGTGGCGGATCGAGGAATTTGAAAACATATAAGGGGAGGACAGCTGGATTCCCATTGAATCCGTTACTGACATTTGTCCTCAAATAGTTGTTTTGGATTTTTTAAGCCTTAAATGTGCAAATTTTCGGCGATTTTGAAATAGGACAATTGGGCTACATTAAGATGTCCAAAAATGAAAATGAATAGTTGATATTGATGTTTACTGTGATTCATATTCAGCAATAAGTTTTTTTCTTGCAATTTGATGCGACCGTTTTAACCGATTTCATTATGCAACAACCTATGAGCGCATTCTCTCCGTCACTGTTGTTTCAGATTCTGTCTTTCCCCCTAATTACTATACCTTATGGAAATATCCAAATGAAATTTTTATTGCAATAATTTATTGTATTCATATTGTAATTCTTATCGGAATTGCTATAGAAAATTCTAGCAGATTATGTTGGAAATCGGCCCAATACCTTATAAGATCTAATAGGAATTTTTATAGGAATTTTTAAATATCTAATAAGATTAAATTATATATGAATTGTTTAATAATGTCAAAGATGTGTATAAGAGACAGGTGTTTATCTTCGCCCAATGTTGCATTTTGAATGGGAATTATTTTATGACCGTAGAAACTAAGAGAAAAAAAGAATGAAAACATGTTATATATACACATAAATATCCTTTTGTCCATAAATATTTTTTTTTTTGTTCAAGTGACCTAAATTGACAATTGGCTCATCATTTTAAGGGTATATATAAGGAGTGTATGATATGTTTTCTGGGTTGCCAATTGCATGTTTCTATTCAACATAACAGAAACATTTACCCACACATAGTGGTTTATGATTTATTAAGCCTTAAATGTGCAAAAATGACGGCGATTTTGAATTAAGCAAATTAGGCTACTTTAAAGTTATACAATCAAGTCAAAAACCAAAAAATTATTTGGCTTAAAGTCAAAATTTAAATTAGCTCAATTTGTTTATACTGGAATGTAATGTTAAACATCGCGAATAGTTTTGATAAAATAGAACAAAAACTTCATGACCACTAAAAGAAGATTGGCCTAATTACAGACGAAAATACACACAAATTCTACGCAAATTTATCACTGGGTCTAGAACCCTAATGTCCAGGTTACCGTATTGTACTTAGACTGGTGAACGTTATGCATTTTAATGTGTCCATGCTCACCTTTAAGAGTCATATTTCTGTTGAAATATGATAGGGTGTATGTTTAGGTAGGATAAATAAGGCGATTAGTACGGCGATTTAGTTTATAGGGCCTTACTTATTATTGTACATTTCTCTTAGAAATTATATATTTGTAACAGTTGAAGATATAACTGTAGGTAGAAATAGGAAGTTCCTGCATAACAATGTACGTTATCATGCTGCTACTAGTATATATTTATATACTCTAAGGACTTTAGAGGTCATAAGTTCTGAGCCTCGCTGTCACAAAGTGATGAATTTGGAGAGGGACAGCTAACCACATTGAAAAGTTCAAAGTTGTTGAAACTGTTGATTCAATTAGGCCATATAAATAAAAGCTGTTGATCGGTCAGTAGGCTGGGAGGTTGTGAAAATCTGTAATGAAACCACGCCCTTGATACATGCCAAGTCTTTAAATCTTCCATGGAGAGCAAGGCCTCATGTAAACTTGACGGATCTTTCAGTGTAGTGTTTAATCAGGTGGATTGTATACACACTAACAGCTCCCTTTACAAACAAACAAATGAAAGACAAAATAATTACACACAAAAAACCCCAAAAACAAACAAAAAAAAAAAAAAACTTAAAAACAAAAAACAAACAAAAAAAAAAGAGCATAGACTTAGACGAAGTTGAAATATGGGCGGAAAGACGATATTTTGTTCAATTTATTTTTGGCCGCAAGAAAAAAAAAATAAAATAAATAAATGAATAAATAAAAAATAAAAATTTTGTTTTTAAATTGTTATTATGTAGGAAGGTGACGATGAACAACTTCTTTTTTAAATAGCCTTATATTTAAACAACAAGAATCGAAATGCGTGACACTGTAAACAATGCAACAGTTTTTCAGACCTGTAGGTTTCAAATCCTAGACATTATCTGATGACTGGCTTATACTACTGTAATTGTAGGCTTTGAAATAAGCATAATTATTATATAGATTAAGTTATAGTCTTTCAATCAAAAACAGCATAAAAACGACGCCAAACGACCAATTAACAAACGAATTAGTTGTGTATGATAATGGCGTTAAATAATTATTTTTCGAACGGGCCAGGAAATGTTTGTTCAAGATTAACGCATGGTTATCAACAAATCTCTCCCTTGCAATCGGGTCGACAGTCCTGCCTTCTGCTCACGCTTGTGAACGAGGCCAAACGGGAAATCTCCAAACAGAATACTTACTGTTACTGTACAGAAACTCCTGTGTGTGGAAGGGCACGCCGATAGCTGAAGGTAGGCCTAAGACCAATGATAATAAATATTTATTTTGGCAAGTTCTTCTTATCTCAAGTCAATAATGGTATTAAAAATCTTAATTACTATACCTTATGGAAATATCCAAATGAAATTTTTATTGCAATAATTTATTGTATTCATATTGTAATTCTTATCGGAATTGCTATAGAAAATTCTAGCAGATTATGTTGGAAATCGGCCCAATACCTTATAAGATCTAATAGGAATTTTTATAGGAATTTTTAAATATCTAATAAGATTAAATTATATATGAATTGTTTAATAATGTCAAGACATATTCTTATTCTTATATAAATTGCTTTAAGATTTTCTATTAGATTCTGTCGAAAATTGGCCCAATATTTAATAAGATCTAATAAGTGTTTTTATAGAATTTTTTAAATATCTAATAAGAATTCATATTAGAATATTTATTACATCATATAGGAATTCTATTAGAATATTCCATTTATTTCCTATAGATATTTTTATTGTAATTAGTATTTGATTTGACAAGAGCATTTAGTAGAAATTGGCCCAGTCCAATAAGACATGATTTTTTACAGATTCAGTATGAATTCGTATTTGAATTTATATATAATTTGTTTAAAATTAATAAGAATTCATATTAGAATATTTATAAGATCATATAGGAATTTCTATTAGAATTCCTTTTATTTCTTATGGATTTTATTGTAATGAGTATCTGTTTTTACATGAAATTCTTATGAAAATTAGTCAAATATCTGCTAAAACCAATAAAACTTTTTATGTGATGTGCTTTAGACTTATTACGAATTAATTAAAATATTAAATAGTTTTATTTAAAGACAAAAACCATCATATTGCACATTTCTTAATAAAAAAGGGTTTTATCTTAGTAGTTTCCAATATATTTCTTATAGAAATAATGAGCTCAATCCTTATAATAAAATTAAAAAAAATATACTACATGGCTAAAAAGTACGTCAATTTATGATTATTTTTCTTACTGTGAATTGTATGATCATGACATGATTTTTTATATGTATACTCATTTATATAATAATATAAATGTAAAAATATTTCATTTAAAAAAATAAAATCTTTAGGTATACCTTGCTGCTAAAAAATATTGATTGGGCGTGTCTATTTACTGTGAAATTGCTCATATGCACATATTTAAAATATCTTTTGGTCCATAAATATTTTGTTTGGTTCAAATATAAATAAATATTATATTTGCCCTAAATTGTTTTAAAAATGTTTTGATCGGTCGGTCGGTAGGCAGGGAGGTTGTGAAAATCTGTAGTGAAACCACCTCCTTGGTACATGCCAAGTCTTCAAATCTCCCATGGAAAGCAAGGCGAAAGGTCCACTGATTAATCTCAGATAAGAAAGTATAATATGATTAAACTATAAAATAAGAATACTCCACTCAGAAGCCTTCCAAAAAGGCCTTGCTTTATGATCTTGGAGATCTGACACTTCTAATGGTGGGCTGATTAAAACTATATCTAACATCAATTTCATTATTTTCCTACCAAGATAATATCCTATGATTTGCAGAATTTAGCCTTATGTTGCACACTAGTCTAATCACACCTTGGCAAACGGAATGAATGTACTCAGGGGTGAACCCATTAACGACATCATGTTGGTAACATACTTTTTATGGAAGCTCCTTTCACGCCAATCACGATGGTTTTTTCCTCTTCTGCCCTTAATGCGAATTCTGCTTTGCTGCTGAGCGGTTCTTAGAATTTATTTAATTCTCCTCGATTAGCTTATTAACGTGTTGCAGGTCCTCTCCTCTTGCTTGAGCGATTGTGACACCTTCATGTAAACACCAGTCACATCCGTGTTTCCTATTATACTGCTTACAGGTTTTGACAATAGCGCGAGCTGGACTATCAGCGCAGCATACCGACTTTATTACCCTTTTTGGCGGTACTTCATTTTTAAACGTAAATCCTTCATGTTCTAACTGACAATACTCATCAATAAACGGTTTGACAAATGAATTCATATTTGGTTTGGAATTATTATTATGGAATACTTGGAAGACTTGAATACTAAGACACCGTCTGTATTCCAAGTTAGTGCTGTCATTTCCAGTGAGGTGGCGTAAATCCCATACAAAAAAATTCTATAGAATTCTATCCAAAAAAAATTATAGAATGTCTATAGCATAATTGTTTAGAAAATCTATAGAAAATTCTATAGAAATAACTATAGAAGCCCACTATAAAAAGTCTATTAAAAATCTATTAAAACTGCTGTAAAAATCTATTAAAACTCTATTAAAAATCTATTAAAACTATATTAAAAATCTATTAAAAATATATAAAAAAACTATAAAAAATTTATAAAAACTCTATAAAATATATATTAAAACTATATTAAAATATTTAAAAATCTATAAAAATTATATAAAAAAATTTGAAAATTCTATTAAAATTCTATAGAAAGTCTATGAAAATTTTATATAAAAAAATCCTTAAAAAAACTATAGAAAATCTGTAAACAATTTTATAAAAACCACTTAAAAATCTATAAACATTATATAAAAAAACTATGAAAATTCTATTAAAATTCTATAGAAAGTCTATGAAAATTTTATATTAAAAAAACCTTAAAAAATCTAAACAATTTTATAAAAACCACTTATAAATCTATAAACATTTTATAGAAAAAACCTATAAAAATACATTAAATATGCTAATAGAAATTCTATACAATTACTGTATATAGAAAGTGTATATAAATTGAACGATTTTATATAGAAAATCTGTGTATTCTAAAAAAAAAAATTAAAACAAATGTGGGTGTTGTGTGCTTTTGGACAATTCAACTGCTCTTCAACTTTAACTGGCCCCAATTCCAATTGGTTTGCAATGGTCCAAGTTCCAATTGGTAACAATGGCTTTAATCAACTTCTGCAGACTTACAAAATACACTATGAGTTCATATACAAACCATAATTTCTTTAATTTAACAAACATCATACGGTAGGGACATTACTTCCCTAGGATCTCATTTACTAGCATACCCCTTCATATATTATCGTTTTGCTAATGTCTTACTGCTAAACATATGTACCTCAAATTCAAGGCTATTCTACAGTTCTTTGCTTTTAAAGTCCGGTTTAAATAAGCATTTTTTTCGTAATATAGTCCTATTACAAGAGTTATTATATAAAACAATATTCAAGAACCATTTGTGTTACAGGTGTTTTCTTGTCCGATGGTACCAAGCTAAATTAGTATGAATTATGCCGTTGAACAAATCTAGTTTGAAATATTAAATCACTGTGACTTGTGCTAACATTTCTCGGAGTTTCACTCTTGCTGAAAGACATAACAAAACAAAATAGAGGGCATATTATAGAAACCGCTATTAAATGTATTACATCCCTTTATTATTGTATTAAAATAGTAATATACATATATGTAGCTAATGACAGACTAGCAGTTACTTCTTTTTTAAACAAAAGAAAATTATTATTATTTTTTTTTTAGTTTTCAAAACAGCTTAGCCTACACTACAATTTCAATATCCCTTAAGGCCTATATAGGCCTAATATATACACATTAAATTTGATTAAACGACATCATCATCTATAGCATGTTGTTAATAATTAATAGTATAGGACAGTAAAAATAAAACGTCAACAAAACATTATATTCACCTTTAGTAAGTCAGGTAATTGTCTGGCCTTCACAGATGCGTCTTCAAACAAACATGCTTTCCTACAACAATGATTGAGTTGACTGGATTGAGTTTTCACTCACAGTAGTTACCGAGACTTGAGTATCCTGAAATAAAATCACCATTTATGTTGTTAGTATAGGCCTTTTGTTTACATTAACTTTCTCCAAATAATGATACAATTCTTTTTTTTCACCACCTCCCTCACCACAGTTAACCGTTAACCGATTATTTTATTAAAGCACTATAGAATGTTAGGTAATTTTTTCTGTTCCTTTACAGATACGTCTTTAAACAAACATTAATGCTTTCAACTACAAGATTGAGTTGACCGGATTGAGTTTTCACTTAATTACAGTAGTAACTGAGACTTGATTGAGTATCCTGAAATAAAATCACCACTTATGTTATAGTATAGGCCCAGATTTTATAAATTAACTTTCTGCAAATAATGATACAATTCTTTACACCACTCCCTCCCCGGTTAACCCTAAACCCATTATTTTATTAAAGCATTATGGACATTAGTGAGGACACAGCCCAAATGCAATTTACCACTCTTCTTATATGGCATGCTAGACTATGGGGCAATTAACTTTGCTTAGCTAGGCCAACAAAATGCCCAGGTTCTAGGCCTAGCCCTATCCTCAATGGCCTAGAGAGAACAGAGAACCTCAGTTCTGTCTGTCTCTGTACGGCGGCTAGGCTAGTATCGGTACAGCTACTGTAGGTAGGCTAGGCCAGGCCTCTTCATTCAAGCCTTCATCTACCACTACTACTAGGCCTAGGAGGAGGCTAGCGTGTCTGCTGCTAGAGTAGTAAACTAACTAAATAATAAAACAAAACAAACTCTTACCACTTGATAGTGAATACAGTACTGCTAAAATTCTTCCAAGGAGTATGTTTATAACTGCCTAACATCATGAAAGTCCAGAGAAAAATTCAAAATACTACCGCTTCCGTTGGCTCTCATGAAGTGACAATTCAAATCAGCTGATGGTCACTTGATGAAGTGACCAATCAGATTTGTGCAATTCGACACTAACATTAATTGGTTGGTAGGTGGGCTATCACA